TTACACTGCCACTTTTCTCTTGTTCTACCCTAAAAGCAAAATTCTATCAGACAATAAAAACAGGAAACGTTGGAGAAACTCAGCAGGTAATGTTCATGTTTTGCGTCCAATGACTCTTCTTCAGGACAGGATGAGGTTGAAAAATGGTGGCTTGGATGCAGTTGACAAAGATAGAGAAGGAACAGATGGTGAGGGTGTCCAGGACAAATCACAAGGACAGTGTTACTGGTGGCAAAGGAATGGTTGAGCTATAAAGTATGTGTTATACATTGGTACCAGAGAAACATGCATTCTCTGAGAAAGTAACATTCAGCGCACACTTAGATCACAGAATCATAACGCCATAAGATAAAGGAACAGAATTAGGCCATTCAGCCCATCGATTCTGCTTCACCCTTCCATCATGGCTGATTTGTTTCTTAACCCCATTCTCCTGCCTTCTCCCTGTAGCCCTTGATGCCTTTACTAATCAAGAACCTACCAATCACTCTCTTAAATACACTCAATGACATGGCCTCCACAGATTCACTACCCTCTGGCAATTACAGAATTTTTGTTGGTGGCAGCATGGTGGCTCAGTCGTTAGCACTGCTGCCTCACAGCACCAGGAACCCAGGTTCGATTTCACCCTCGGGCGAACTGTCTGTGTGGAGTTTGCACATTCTCCCTGTGTCTGCGTGGTTTTCCTCCCACAGTCCAAAGATGTGCAGGTTAGATGCATTGGCCGTGCTAAACTGCAAATGGTGTCCAGGGATGTGCAGGCTAGGTGGATTAGCCATGGGAAATGCAGGGTTACAGGGACAGGGTAGGGGGGTTGTGTCAGGGTGGGATCCTCTTTGGAGGGTTGGTGTGGACCTGATGGGTCAAATGGCTTCCTTCCACACTGTAGGGACTCTATGAGAAGGAAACTATTGAGCCCACTGTGTCTGCACTGGCTCTTCAAACAATCATCATCACCTAGAGCCTTTTCCCCTTTCCCTTGCACACTATTTCTAACCAAATAACCATCCAGTGACCCTCTTGAGTCCCTCAATTGAACCTGCTTCCACCAAATTTCCAGGCAGTGCATTCCAGACTCTAACTACTTGCTGGGTGAAAATGTGTTTTTCTCCCATTACTGGCTTCATTTGTACAGCACTTTAAAGCTATACACTCTATTCCTTTAATACATGGGGCCAGCTTCTCCCTGTTGACTCTGTCCAGCCTACTCATGAGTTTGAAAACCTCAATCAGATCTCCTCTCAACTTTTTTTTCCTCTCTAAGGAGAACAGGCTCAACTTCTTCAATGTATTCTTGTCTCTGAAGATTCTCATTCCTGGAACCACTTATGTTCTCATCTCGTATTCCAGAGATGTTAGGTGGCAACAGTCAAATCTATCCAGCAATAGGGATGGGGCTTTTGCAAAGGTTTCAATGACCATGTTGGGCAGTTTGATGTCAATGATAAGCAGTTCCAGAATGACAGATAATTGGAGAAAGATACAGAGGCAGGGGCTGTCTCTAGATCAGGAATCCAGACTAGGTTCAGAAGAGGTTCTTGAGAAGTCAAAAATGGGCAGGTTGTTGGCCCTGGGTTAAGGGAGACCATAAGTGACTGAAAACAAGCCTGTGAGCATTAATTCTTCAAGGCAGAAGAGAGACTGAGGCTTGAAACACCCATAAGCAGTATTTGCTGCATCCAACTGAGTAACATTAGAGATCAGAGAAAACTCAAGGACACATCCAGCTCAGTGAAGTGAGTTGTCGATGAAGAGGTGGAGTTAATGCTTGCGAATGAGGTCTGGAGCACAGTTTACAGGGTCCAGGAGAGCATAGAACCATGGCAGGAGGATGATTGACCAGAGCAGGAATGGACCTTGAGGCAGTTCATGACAGAATGGCTCTGGAATCAGAATTTCATGGCCAAACCCACAAATATGAAGAATCATAATCCTTATGGAGTTTAATGAGATTTGTCTCGGAGAGCATTTACTGAGAAATCTGTGGGATCTCTTTTGATTTCAGGTGGCTCAGCGGTTAGCACTGCTGCCTCACAGCAGCAGGGACCCGGCTTCGATTCCACCCTTGGGTGACTGTCTGTGTGGAGTTTGCACATTCTCACGTGTTTACATGGGTTTCCTCCGGGTGCTCCGGTTTCCTCCCACAGTCCAAAGATGGGCAGGTTAGGTGGTTTGGTCATGCTAAGTTGTCCCATAGTGTCAAGGGATATGTAGGTTAAGTGGATTGGCCATGGGAAATGTAGGGTTACAGGGATCGGGTAGGGGAGTGGGTCTGAGTGGGATGCCCTTTGGAGGGTTGACGTGGACTCGACGGGCCGAACGGCCTGCTTTCACAATGTAGGGATTCTATTATTTGTTAGAATAACGCACCAGGTTGGGGCGTCCAATCACAGCATATTACTCATGTCAACCACATGGTAATTCTGAGCATTAGAAATAAGTCGTACACATATTGTAGACACAAAAACAGAAGTTCCTGGAAAATCTCAGCAGGTCTGGCAGCATCTGTAGGTAGAAGCAGAGTTAACGTTTTGGGTCTTGTGACCCTTCTTGAACACCCGTGTTCTGAGGTTTTCCAGTAGTTTCTGTTTTTAATTTCGATTTCCAGCATTTGCAGTTTTTTGGTGCTTTTTTATGCATATATTGTAGATTGTGTTTCTGTTCCAATGTTGTAAAGCAAAGTTTATTCTTGCTTGTTCAAAGTTAGAATTTCATGGCATTATTCTCTTAGTAAGTCCCCTGGTTCTCACAATTTGTATTATACAGCCATAGAGCCATGGAGTCGTAGAGTCATACAGTAAGGAAACAGACCCTTCTATCCAACTCATCCGCCAGCCAGGCCTATCAGACCTAGTCTCATTTGCCAGCATTTGGCCCATATCCCTCTAAACCCCTCCTTTTTATCCATCCAGATGCCTTTTAATTGTTATAATTGTACCTTCCTCCACCATTTTGCTCAGGCAGCTTGTACCATACACGCACCATCATCTGTATGAAAATGTTGCCCCTTAGGTCCCTTTTAAATCTTTCCCCTCTCACCTTAAACCTATGCCCTCTAGTTTTAGACTCCCCTACCCTGGGGAAAAGACCTTGGCTATTCACCCTATCCATGCCCCTCATGATTTTATAAACCTCTATAAGATCACCTCTTATTCTCTGATGCTCCAGGGAAAATAGCCCCAGCCTCTCTCTATAAATCAAACCCTCCAAACCCGGCAACATCTTTTTCCGCATCCTCTCAAGTTTAACAACATCTTTTCTATAGAAGGGGGACCAGAATTGCGCGCAGTATTCCAAAATTGGTATCACCAATGTCTTTAATTGTTTGAAAATGAAGGTTATTGGTCCCTAGCCATGCTATACCATAATATTGGTGGGTTTCTTTGGGATTATATCAAGAGGTAACTCTTAAATCCCGCAACCATTGCTAAAATTCTACGTGCTACAAAAGCATTGCAGCAGTTACTTACCTGGTGCCAAAATTCAATCCGAAGTCAATTATCATAGCTGAAAGTTATTATTTTTCCATAGTCATTGTATAATTTCTCTCATTATATTGCCAGTAAAACATTTTCAGAAAAAAAACAGCCTGATTTATGAAGAGTAGGCAGCCCTGAGTTGCTGTGCATTATTGGTTAAATCTTAGAGATTTGGTGAGCAAGGTGAAACAAAATGTAATCGTTTTCAGGAAGGCTTATTGATATTGGGTGAACGTGCCAGTAAAATATTTATCTGCTAATTTATTCATGGTTAGCTAATCCACCTGCTGGTTTATGGACCAAAGTTAAAAATAAAAACCAAACTGGACTCGATATCACTGCCTGCTAGAAACAACATCCCCATGTAAACAGAAATCTTCTCTCCTTGGAGCAGAGAGGTTTGAGGGGGACCTGATGGACGTGTATTGATTTGATTTATTATTATCTCATGTACCTAAGTACAGTGAAAAGTTCTATTCTGTGTGCAATACAGGCAGAGCATAACGTACAAAGACAGAAAGATCATAGGGTAATCGAATAGAATGAGGAATACAAAGTTGCACCTGCAAAGAAGGTGCACAAAAATCAAGGTCAAACTTAGCTTTGAAATTTCAGAGGTCCAATCAGCAGTCCAATAACAGCAGGGAAGAAGCTGTTCTTGAACTTGTTGGTACATGTGTTTAAGCTTTTGTATCTTCTGCCTGACGGGGAAGAGGTTGGCAGAGATTAAAACCAAGGTGGGAGGGATCTTTAATGATATATGGTGGTGAGGAGCATGGACAGGGTGGTTAGAAAGCAGCTGTTCCCCTCAGTTAAAGGGTCAATAACAAGGGGGCGTAATTTTAAGGTGAAAGAGGTTTAAAAGGGGATGTGAAGGAAACCTTTTTCTCCCAGAGGGTGGGAGGGTAGTTGAGATGGGAACCCTTACACGTTTAAAAAGTACTTGGATGAGCACTTGGAATGTCATAACCTTCAAGGCAAGTGTGGGAAAATGGGACTAGTGTAGGTAGTCGTATATTTTTGGCAGCACAGGCTTGATGGGCCAAAGGGCCTTTTCTGTACTGTATGATTCTGTGATTCTATAAGGAATAAGTTCAAGATTTGTGCCCTATTTTTGACATAGTCGGAAGCTTGGGCAGCATTTAATTCCCTGTCAGTGTCTTCATGGCAACACTTTGGCAAATCAGAATTGATTGGTCAACTATCAATGCCCTTTGCTCCTGGAGTATAAATGGTTGTGATTGTTCGAGATTTGACATTCTTGCATCTGTCCTGGTGAATGTGAGATGGAAAGCTTCAGCAACATGTCTCTCTTTCCAGCAAACTTTCTAAATGTTCCTTATGTTATAAAACTAACACTTGCAAAGCTAACGTTCTGTCTCCACTGGTTTTTCGCACCTGCAGAGGTTATGTTTTTAATATTCCTTCGGCTTCAATTCAAAATGAAGTGGGTGTAACAAATCACTTGAGTTTACAATTCTTGTCTTGCAGAGGTTCTTGCTGGTCACGCCCATTATCTGGATGAAGCAGTGGATCATGTCTGATGTGAATATGTTGGGACAGAGTCAGTTTTCACCGTCCGAGGGATTTTGTCTCACTGACTCTTCATTCTTCGGTAGGTTCTGAGGAAGGGCCACTCGACCCAAAATGTTAACCCTGATTTCTTTCCGCAGATGCTGCCAGATCTGCTGAGCGATTCCAGCAATTTCTGTTTTGATTTCTGATTTACAGCATCCGCAGTTCTTTCAGTTTTTATTTTGTAACAGTATGCACTTAGTGTTTGAGCCCAACACCAAATGCAGCCTGAAGCTATGGGTGGCTCTGCCTTGTCCTTTTTAAGTAGACCAAGCAGGGGTTTGTGGTCCATTATTATTACAAATTTACATCCATAAAGATATTGGTAGAACATCCTGATTCTAAATATGACTGCCAAACCTTCCTTTTCTATCTGGGTGTATTTACGCTCTGCATTAGCCAAAGCCTTGGATGCATACGTTATTGGGCATTCCTCTTCATTGGGCCATCAATGAGCTAATACTACCCCAATGCTATACGAGCTGGCATCGCATGTCAATACCAGATCATTCGTAGAATCCCTACAGTGTGGAAACAGGCCCTTCAGCCCAACAATTCCACACTGACCCTCAGAGCATCCCACCCAGACCCATCGCCTATAACCCACACACCTCTAAACACTATGGGCAATTTAGCACAGCCAATCCACCTAACCTGCACATCTTTGGACTGTGGGAGGAAACTGGAGCACCCGGAGGAAATCCACACAGACACTGGGAGAATGTGCAAACTCCACACAGACAGTCACCCGAGGGTGGAATTGAACCTGGGTCCCTGGCGCTGTGAGGCAGCAGTGCTAACCACTGAGCCACCGTACCATCCATCGGTATGGCCAGTGCTGCCCATTCCATAAACTGCACAGGTTTGATGATTCCTTCTGTTTCCAGCCTCCTGATTTCTGCCTCTAATTTAGTCCACAAGGCAAATGGCACTGAGCAGGCCTTGCAGAACTGTGGAACTGCTTCCTGGTCAACGTGTAAGTTGGCCTTGGCTCCTTTGTTCGTCTCTAGACCTTCCTGAAAAATGTCTGGGTATTTAGTGAGGACTTCACTCAAGTAGCCATTTCTAATTGAAAAATGTTTACCCACTCTAGCTGAATCTTTCTCGACCAATTTCATCCAAACCTTTTACTACAATCAGTGGAACTGAGCCAGCTGCCTGTCATAAGAGACCGGGAATAAGTTGTACCCTTAATCTGTAGGGGTTCCCCAGTATAGGTTCAAAGTCTAGCCAAGGTCTTGCACAAACCTGAGGGTTAGAGTCCAGAGCAAATTTTGTTAAACGCTGGTTCTGTGCCGGTATCAACCTCCATTAGAACAGGGTGACCACTTAACCAGACATTTATTTTGATTGGTTCTGATTTGAACATTGCTAAGCAATTTAAATGTTCCAATCCAGATGTAGGTGGACTTTCCAGGGTGTGCACTGTCCTGGATACCGGCCTATGAGTTCTCTTACTCCATTTAGATCTAGTGGAACAGTTTATCTGTCTCCAGTCTGCGTACCAACAGCAACTACAATGGATTGCCTGTCCAGATCTGGAAGAAAATTTTAACTGTTTGGCTGAGGCTTGGCTTTGTTTTGGGGTTTTGCTGTGGGCTGACCTAGAGTCACTCTGTTCAGGAAATTTCCTGAGTGAGGGAATGCAATTGCCTTCACTAAAGTGGTGTTCCCCAGGCTCAGTTAGACTAGCGAGGGTAACCACTTCCATCAGAATACCCTACAACTCATAAGCTCCACTTGCCACATTTTATAATAACAAATCCAGTTGTAATGCCTGTTTGAAGCCCAGTTGAGCTTCAGCTTGTAGGCAGTCCAGTTTGTGGAATGGGCAGCACCTGTCATACCGATGGGCTGCACGGTGGCTCGGTGGTTACATCATCAATCCTACTCTCGTTGCCACTGAAATATCTCAAAAAAGGCCAGCATCCAGGACCCCTTTATTTGCACGTGGAGAGTCCTTGACCCGAATCCAGCTTCCACAGAGTCAGCTGTCAGAGTGAACAAGATGTCTGACACTCCTGCTCATGTCTGTCAGCCAGGGCTCCCTGATTAGACAAGACTAACAGCCCCAATCAGAGAGTTCACATTCTGAGGTCTAGCTGGCTGAACTCATTCCAATCACTATGGATTCAGTGATGGCAATGCCTTTGAATGTCATGAGGATATGTCTACCTCTTCTTTTTTGGAGATGGTCTGGCACTTGTGTGGCATGAGTGTTACTTTCTAAATCATTATATCTTCCATCTCTTCCTCAACTGCATTTCTGGCCAGAAATTTATTGCCTCACAGGCAGTTAAGGGTCAACATGTAGGCTAGACCAGGCAAAGATAGCAGATTTCTTTCGCTAAAAGTCATTTATGAAGCAGATGAGTTTTGTTAAAAAAAAAACGCTATGGTCATCATTAGACTAGCATTTTATTGAATTCAAGTTTTACTTTCTGCCAGGTTGGGGTTGAACCTTGAGGTTTAAGATTGCTCAGGAATAAAAACAGAAGTTGCTGGAAAAGCTCAGAACTGGACCCGAAACGTTAACTCTGATTTTCTTTTCACAGATGCTGCCAGACCAGCTGAGCTTTTCCTGCAACTTCTGTTTTTGTTCCTGATTTACAGCATCTGCAGTCCTTTCGGTTTTGTTTAAAATTGCTCATCTAGTGACATTATCACTTCACCACTGCCTCCCCTATAACAATAGAATTCCAATCTATCCATTTTGCAGGACCTTTCATGACCCCCAGGACATTCCAAGATGGTTTACTGTCAATGAACATAAGAACATGAGAACCAGGAGAAGGAGGAGGCCATCTGGCCATTGACCCTGCTCCTCTATTCACTAAGATCATGGCTGATGTTTTCGTGGACTCAGCTCCAATTACCCATCCACTGACTATAACCCTCAATTCCTTTACTGTTCAAAAATCTATCTATCTTTGCCTTAAAAACATTCAACGAGGCAGCCTCAACTGCTTCACTGGGCAGGGAATTCCACAGATTCACAACCCTTTGGGAGAAGAAGTTTTTCTCAACTCAGTCCTAAACCTGCTCCCCCTTATTTTGAGGCTATGCCCTCTTGCTCAGTTTCACCTGCCAGTGGAAACAACCTCCCTGTTGCTATCCTATCTATTCCCTTCATAGTTTTATATGTTTCTATAAGATCCCTTCTCATTGTTCTAAATTCCAATGAATATAACCCCAGTCTACTCAGTCTCGCCCCATATGCCAACCCTCTCAACTCTGGAATCAACCTTTTAAATCTCCTCTGCACCCCCTCCAGTGCCGGTACATCCTTTCTCAAGTAAGGAGACCAAAACTGCACACAGTACTCCAGGTGTGGCCTCACCAGCACCTCTTACAGCTATAGCATAACCTCCCTGTTTTTAAAGTTCACCCCTCTAGCAATGAGGGGCAATATTCCGTTTACCTTCTTAATTACCTGCTGCAACTGCAAAGCAACTTTTTGTGTTTCATGCACAAGGAAACCCAGGTCCCTCTGCACAGCAGCATGCTGCAATTTTTCACCATTTAAATAATAGTCCTTTTTACTGGTATTCCTACCGAAATGGATGACCTCACATTTGCCAGCATTGTACTCCAAATGCCAGTACCTTGTCCACTCACTTAAACTATCTATATCTCTCTGCAAACTTTCAGAGTCCTCCCCACACTTTGCTCTACCACTCATCTTAGTGACACTGCGAACTTTGACAAACTACACTTGGTCCCAACTCTAAATCATCTATGTAAACTGTAAACAATTGCGGTCCCAACACTGATCCCTGAGGCACACCACTAGTCACTGACCGCCAAACAGAAAAACACCCATTTACCCCTACTCTTTGCTTCCTGTTAGTTAAACAATCCTCTATCCATGCCAATACACTGCCTGTAATGCCATGCTCCTGTATCTCATGCAGCAGCCTTTTGTGCGGCACCTTGTCGAATGCCTTTTGGAAATCTTGGTACACCACATCTACTGGGTCCCCATTGTCCACCACGCTTGTAATGTCTTCATAGAATTCCAGTAAATTAGTTAAACATGACCTGCCCCTCATGAACCCATGTTCCGTCTGCCCAATGGGACAATTTCTATCAAGATGTTGTGCTATTTCTTCCTTGATAATAGATTCAAGCATTTTTCCCACTACAGAGGTCAAGCTAACTGGTCTATAGTTACCTGCCTTTTGTCTACCTCCTTTTTTAAACAGTGATGTCACATTTGCTGTTTTCCAATCTGCTGAAAATGCCGCAGAGTCCAGCGAATTTTGGAAAATCTCCACAAGCGCATTTGCTATTTCTCCCACCATCTCTTTTAGTACCCTGGGATGCGTTCCATCAGGACCAGGACACTTGCCTACCTTTAGCTCCGTTAACTTGCCTGACACTACCTCTTTGGGATAATGGTTGTCTCTAGGTCCTCACTTACCTTAGTCTCCTTGTCATCAATTACTGACATGTTATTTGTTCTTCCACTCTAAAGACCAACACAAAATATATGATCAAAACCTCGGTCATTCCTCATTTCCCATGATTAAATCCCCCTCCTCATGCTCTAAAAAGGTTGAATCAACACTGGTGGAAATTAGAAATGGTAAGAGGGGAAATGTCACTGATAGGCTTGGTCTATAGGCCACCAAATAATAACATCATGGTGGGACAAGCAATAAACAAAGAAATAACTGATACATGTAAAAATGGTACGGCAATTATCATGGGGGATTTTCATCTACATATTGATTGGTCAAACCAAGTTGGTAAAGGCAGCCTTGAGGGGTTCATAGAATTTGTCCACAATCGTTTCCTCAAATAGTATCTAATGCAGCCCACAAGGGAGCAAGCTATCCTAGATCTGGTCCTTTGTAATGAGACAGGAATAATTAATGATCTCATCATTAGGGATCCTCTCGGAAGGAGGGATCACAGTACTTTTGAAGCCTGGTAACTGCTAATGGAGAGTTGATTTTTCAATAGATCGCTGACAATTAAAGTCATGTGAAATGAGGGTATGCATTATCCCAAAACTGCACCTTTAGAAACAATGTAATTTGTGTGTCATTGCCAATTAGATTATGATTTGGGTTCTATTCCTTGTGTCAAGGTGGGAGTGTTGTCATGGAATACAATATTTCCTAGACATCAGGACACTTCTGATGGAGGGCAAAAACATTTTCCAAGCTCCCAAATATCACTGAGTTCTTAGCATTCAGGGAGAGGCTGGGAGTGAGACATTCCTATAATCAGGTGCTTTGAACTGGTGATATCAGCACTTCTCTGGTGGAGTTAATGTGTAAACTTCTGTAACCTTTAGTCTCTGACCTAACCAAACGATTAACTCAAGGAAGTCATTAAATGAGGTTTGCTGGAGGAGGATTTTTGTCTGTCACAGCCTCCCATACGTAGGCATCACCCTCCTCTTTATTTCGGAAGGATTTGTAACTCAGCTGTTGGTAAGGAAGTCTCTGGGATCACCAGATGTTTGTTTGAAGCTGTGGGCATTGAAGGAGATTTTACAGTCATATCTGCCACAGAGCTGGGAGAATGAAGACTGGGAAAGGTAGGAATAGAAACATAAATATATATAATCAGCCTGCACTAGGCGCAGCATAGTGTAAGCTTAGGCTGAGGGCAGTGATTGTTAATGTGACTAACCCTTTCAACAGTATCAACTGCATTGCCAGTTTTCAGAAAGATTCTGGATTGATTTTGGTTTACAAAATGCTTTCTTGTACAATACGTTCTCTCATGCTTCTTCAGTTTATTCATTTCATAAAGGAGGGAAGTTGTGTTTCATTCAAAAAGATCTTGCTGGGCTACTGTAGTGGCAAAGGGATTTGGAATAAAAATGGAAAGTGCTGAAGAAACTCAGCAGGTCTGGCAACATCCGAGGAAAGAGAAACAGAGTTAATGTTTTGATTCCAGTGTGACATCTTTGGAACAGCTGGAAAAGTGCTGGCTTTTATCATGTTTACAAAGGAAGAGCAAATGGAACTTATGGTGAGGGGCCAGAGGAAAAGGCAAAGGGAGTGCTAATGGCAGTAGAGGAGCGATATAGATTCAAAATGGATGTTAATGATTATTGTTAATAGCAGAAACCAGGCTAACTCTGTTGAGAGCAATACCTTACAAACAAGACAATGGGGGCATGGGGACAGGGGTTTGGTACCCTCACTAGCTGTTCCACTCACTCCTCCTACTGCTTTGTCCAGAGCATTAAAAATGTCACTTATCAGCCCCGTTCAATTCTGAAGAAGAGTCATATTGGACTCAAAACGTTAACTCTGTTCCTCTCTCTGCAGATGCTGTTGGACTTGCTGAGTTTCTCCAGCATGTTCTCGTTTTATTTCTGATCTTCAGTGGCCACAGTATTTTGCTTCCATTTCACAAAAGTTGAGGTCTTTTAATGTGTAAAAAGGGAATTGGTCAATGAAAATAAATTTCTAATCTTTGAACCAGTTGCCTTCAGAAGTGAAAATCTCGAGTTGAAAGAAAGGCCTTCAAGAAAATGCATTTCAAATATTTATTCAACATGCTAAGGATCTTTTACAATTAGTTTTCAGGATATTCTGATATTCTGTAATATCAAAGAGTAGATAGAAGGTAACACGCAAAAGTAAATGGGAAATGTGAGTCAGAGGATGGCAGATGGATGCAGAGAGATACAACCTAGGAATACAGAAATAACCAAGTATAGATAATATAAAGACAAGACTGAAGGCTTTGTATCTGAATGTGCAAAGGATTTATAACAAAGAAAATTAATTAATCACACACATTTAAGGGAATAAATACACTCCAGTAGCTATTATGTTGACCTGGCTACAGGATGACTAGATTTGGGTCCTGAATATCGACTGATATATGACATGGAAGAAAATAGAAAGCTCAGTAAAGGTGGAAGTGCAGCACTGTTAATCAAGGATGCCATTTGTTCAATGGTTGAGATTGCCTTAATTCAGGAAATCATGGCAAAGAATGGAGAAGAAGCAAGATAAGAGATTGAAGTTACTAATATGAGTAGTCTACAGACCTCCAACAGTAAACTTTGTGTGGGACAAAGTCTACAAGAAGAAATTTTGGTTACTTGTGATAAAGTGATGGCAAAAATCATGGATAACTTTAATTTATATATTAGCTGGAAAAATCAGATCGGCATTGGTAGCCTGGCTGAGGAGTTTGTAGAATGCTTTCGAGGTAGTTCCTTGGAGCAGCACATTTTGGAACCACCCAGGGAGAAGGTTATATTAGAGATAACAAGGTGTAGAGCTGGATGAATACAGCAGGCCAAGCAACATCAGAGGAGCAGGAAGGCTGACGTTTCGGTCCTAGACCCTTCTTCAGAAAGGGTCAGCCTTCGTGCTCCTCTGATGCTGCTTGGCCTGCTGTGTTCATCCAGCTCTGCACCTTGTTATCTCAGATTCTCCAGCATCTGCAGTTCCTGCTATCTCTGAAACAAGGTTATATTAGACGTGGTTTTGAACAATGTGATAGGATTAATTAACAACCTCAAAGTTAAGGTACACATGCAGCAACCACAACATGACTGAATTTTATAAACAGTTTGAAGGGGAGCAGACTGGGGCCAAGACCAATATTTTAAACTTAAGTAAGGGTAACTATGAGGACAGGTAAGCTAAAGTGAAGTGGGATAGTAGTATAGGAGATTGATCAATAGAGACACAGTGGCAGATATTTAAGGTATATTTCAGAATACTCAGAATAAGTATAATCTTACAGTAAAGAGTAAGTCTAAGAAAATCCTACCATCCATGGTTGACTAAAGAATTTCAGGAAAGCATCAAACTTGAGGGAAAAGCATATATCTATGCAATGTCAAATGGCAGGTGTGTGATAATTATAATAAAAACAAAACACTGTGGTTGCTTGAAATTGGAGACAAACATAGAAATTACTGGAGAAACTCAGAGGTCTGACAGCTTCTGTGGAGAGAGAAACCATTAGTATTTCCAGTCTGGTGCCCTTTCATCAGAACTCAAGGAGTTCTGAAGAAGACTCAAAATGTTAGCTCTGTTTCTCTCTCAACAGATGCTGCTAGACCTGCTGAGTTTCTCCAGCACTTTATGTGCTAGGTCAGCTGATTAGTCAGAATATAAAGAACATCAAAGAATGACCAGATGGAAGAAATTAGTGTATAAAAGGAATGTAAAAATAGATAGCAAGAATTTCTACATGTATTTGAAAAGGAAAACGGTAAGTAAAATATGAGGTTGTAGACATGTTCGCCAGGCCGGTGGGTTTGGTTCCAAATGTTTTGTCACCCTGCTAGGTAATATCGTCAGTGCGCTTCCGGTGAAGTGTTGGTGTTCTGTCCCACTTGTTATTTCTATGCCTCGGTTTGCTGGGGTGTTTGGTACCACTTCCAGTTCTGTTTTTCAGTGGTTTGTACACAGGGTCTAATTCAGTATGTTTGTTGATGGAGTTTGAGTTGGAATACCAGGCCTCCAGGAATTCCCTGACATGTCTGTGTTTGGCTTGTGCGATTGTGGATGTGTTGTCCCATTCGAATTTGTGTCCCTTGTTGTCCGTATGTAGTAAGACAAGGATGAAGGGTCTAGGCCCGAAACGTCAGCCTTCCTGCTCCTATGATGCTGCTTGGCCTGCTGTGTTCATCCAGCTCTACACCTTGTTGTCTAAGTGAGAATTGGTTGTGTCTCTTGGTGGCCAGTTGGTGTTCATGTATCCATATTGTCAATTTTCTTCTGGTTTGGCCTACGTAATGTTTGATGAGGAATGGCTGGACAGACCAGGCTTGTTTCCTTTGGAGTTTAGAGAGTGAGGGGTGATTTGATTGAAGCGTATAGATTTGACAAGGTGGATGTGAGGATGTTTCCTCTTGGGTGGGAGTCCAGAACTAGGAGATGCTGTTATAAAATTAGGGATTGCATTCTCAGGGTAAAAACAATAAGAAGTAGGAGCAGAAGTAGGCCCTTCAGCCCATCGAATCTGCTTTGCATTCAATGAAGTCATGGCTGATCTGATAATCCTCAACTCCACTTCCAACTTTCTCCACTTCCAATTTGACTGAAATGGCACAAGGGATGTAGGCCTTGAGGTTTGGAAAGAGACATTGGGATACTCCTTGGAGGAGGGAAAGTTAAAGGAAGATTAAATAAACAATCAGAATGAGGTGATGAAAGGATACATTCAGGAGATATTGCTTCCACTGGCAGGAAATCACTTGGTTCAGAGTTAACTGGAAAAAGAAAATCCATAGCTTAAGTAAGGAGCTTCTTTCCAATAGAGCGTCTGAAGTGAAGCTAAAAGCGGACACAAAAAGTGATTGCAAAGGGAAATTGGATGAACATGTGAAAAGAGAAAATCTGCAGTGCTGTGGAGAAAGAGAGGGAGAAATGAGGCGAAGTGTTCTTTCTCTGGGATGTCACTACCACAATGGGCTGAATGGCCACTTTCTGTGATCTCTGATGTTCTCATTCTAACTGACTGCATTTCTCTCTCTCTCTTTAAAATGAAGATGTGATGGCAGACCAACCCAACCTACCCTTGCAAGATCCAGATGTCTCTGCCTACGCTCAATATCCCAATGCACCCTTACCATCAATGCAGCTGTGCTCCACCAGCCATCCATATTACCCCAGCAACAACTACTACACCCAATATTCTGACGCCTGGTACTCCTCAGCTATGTACGATGCTAAGAAGCTTCCCTGCGACACCATCTTTCGTGAAGACCCGGATGAGTGTGATATCCCAGCTACCAAGAAGTCCAGGCTCGGCTCTCTGTCTGGGAAGCTGAAAGGTGATGAGCTGTGTGTTGTGTGTGGTGACAAGGCCTCAGGATATCATTACAATGCACTCACCTGTGAGGGTTGTAAAGGTAAGGACAGTTAGTCATTGTGCATATTTTCAGTCCAATTATTAACAGAATGTTCTCTTCCAAACTGCAGGATACAAGGACGATCTGCCCAACAATTCCCCATAACTTGTCTTGAATTCAGAAGGTTAAAGGGTGATCTGATCGAAGTCTTCAAGATATTAACAGGAGCAGACAGGGTAGATAAAGATAAATTATTTCCACTGGTTGGGGATGCTAGAATTAGGGATAGAGTCTGAGAATGAGGGCCAGAGCATTCAGGAGAGACGTTAGGAAACACTTCAACACAAAGCATGGTAGAGGTTTGGAACTCTCTTCCAAAAATGGCAGTGGATGTTATATTAGTTGTTAATTTTAAATCTGAGATAGATACATTTTTGTGAAGCAAAGATATTAAAGGATATGGGCCAAAGGCAGGTGTATGGAGTTAGGCTATAGATCAGTCTTAATCTCATTGAATGGTAGAACAGACTTGAGGGGCTGAATGGCCTACTCCTATTTCTATTTCCTTTGTTCATAAGACAAACCACCTATTCTAGGTATTAGTCTGGTGAACCTTTTCTGAACTGTTTCCAACACAGTTACATCTTTCCTTTAATAAAGAGACCACACAATATACAAATTAGATGCACAAATAGGCCATTCAGCCCTTCAAGCCTGCTCTCCCATCAAATAAGATCATGGCTGATTTAATTATTCCACTCCCTTTCCCCCAGTGATAACCTTTCACCCCCCTGTTTATCAAGAATCTAACCACCTCTACCGTAAAATATTGAAAGATTCTGCTTCCACCACCTTTGAGAAAGAGAGTTACAAAGACTCACCACAATCTGAGAGAAAGAAATTCTCCTCATCTCTGTCGTAAGCAGCAACACCTTATTTTTAACCATGATATCTATTCTCCAACAAGAGGTAACATCTTCTTCACATTTACCCTTTCACCAAACCCTCAAGATCTTATTTTTCAATCAATACATTTCTTACTCTTCTAAACTCTAGTGGATGCAAGCTCAGGCTAATCAACAACATAAAACAACCTGTATCCTGGTATTCCCCTGGTGAACCTTCTCTGAACTGTTTCCAAAAGAGCTACATCCCTCCCAAATAAGGAAATCAATGATATACACAAAACTCCATATGTGATCTCGACACTGCCCTAAATAACTGAAGCAAAACTTTCTTTCTTTTGCATTCACATCCCCTCAAAATAAACGATAAGATTCCATTACATTTTTTGGAATTGCCTGCTGTACCTGCACACTACCTTTTGTGATAGATGCACTCGGATGCCCAGATCCCTCTGTATCTCAGAGCTCTGCCGCCTCGCGCTATTTAGATAATATTAATTTCTTTTATTCTTCCTGCCAAAATGGGCCATTTCACATCTTCCCACATTACAGTCCGTTTGCTATTTCCTGTGTCCACTCATGTAGCCTAACTATATCCTTATGTCTTCTTCATAACATTCCTCCCTACCTAGATCTGTGTCATTATTGAACGATATTGGATTATTGTGGGGAATAAGAAAGAGCAAAGGTGAAGGTATTCAGTGATCATTTTTAAAATTATTTTCTCAAAATAACTTTTCTAAATACCTGAATAGTGAAAATTATCAGGATAATGGCACAAGAGTGGAAGATTGGGACTAATTATTGCGTAGCACCTTGAAAGAGAGACAGTGGTTTTTTTATGCAGTCATGGGACAAGGTCATTGCTGGGTTATTTATTGCCCCTCCCTAATTGCCCAGAGGGCAGTTAAGAGTCAACCACATTGCTGTGGGTCTGGAGTCACACGTAGGCCAGACCAGGTAAGGATGGCAGCTTCCTTCCCTAAAGGGCATTAGTGAACCAGGTGGGTTTTTCCAACAATCAAAGAGTGTCATCATTATTAGTCTCTTAATTCCAGGTTTTTATTCCACTTGCAACGGTGGGATTTGAACACAGGTGCCCAGAACTTCACCTGCGTCTCTGGATCAACAGTCCAGCAATGATGCCATGAGGCCATTACCTCCCCTTGAATCATTTCCAATTACAGCGTATAATTGAAAGATTCTATATGGTCTAACATTGAATCACACAGAGGTCACTACACAGATAGGCTTTTGGTGCCACAACTGTATGTTGGTATTTATCCTCAATGGTAGCTGTATCCTTACTCTGCCCTCTCCTAGGAACAGGAGGAGAAGAATTTCGCATCTCAAAGCCATTGCATCATTGAATTAGATCATAGGTTACCCACAATAACTCCAAAATAAAGCAAAGGACTGTGGATGCTGAAGATCTGACACAAAAATGGAAATTGCTGGAGAATCTCAGCTGGTCTGACAGCATCTGGAGTATTGAAGAAGAGTCACAGGGCTTGAAACATTGAGTCTGCTTTCTTTCTGCACAGATGCTGCCAGGCCTGTTGAGTTTCTCTAGCAATTTCGGTTTTGTGCATTGAGTATAGGAGTTAGGAGGTCATGTTGCAGCTGTACATACGTTGGTTAGGCCACTTTTACAATACCGCCTTCGATTCTGGTCTCCCTGCTATAGGAAGGATGTTGTAAAACTTGAAAGGGTTCAGAAAAGATTTACAAGGATGTTGCCAGGGTTGGAGGGTTTGGGGTTGGGGCTATTTTCCCTGAAGCATCAGAGGCTGAAAGGTGACCTTATAGAGATGTATAAAATCATGAGGGGCATGAATATGGTGAATAATCAAGGTCTTTTCTCCGGGTATGGGAGTCCAAAACTAGAGGGCATAGGATTAAGGTGAGAGGGGAAAGATTTAAAAGAGGCCTTGGGCAACTTTTTTCATGGAGAGGGTTGTGCGAGTATGTAATGAGCTGCCGAAGGAAGTGGTGGAGGCTGGTACGATTATCACATTTAAAGGGCATCTGGGTGGGTATGTGAATAGGAAAGTTTTAGAGGGAAATGGGCCAAATGCTGACAAATCAGACTATATTAATTTAGGATATCTGGTCAACATGGATGAGTTGGGCTGAAGGGTCTGCTTCTGTGCTGCACAGCTCCATGACTCTGTGGCTATTTTGTTGACAATCTAATCCAGTGTGCTCACCTTGGTTCCATAATTTTTAATAACCTGCCTGATAAAGATTGATCAATCAGAGTTTTAAAATTTTCAATCGACCTGCAGTCTCCAGAAATGTTTGGAAGGACTTAGTCCCATATTTCCGATATTGTGTCAGTAAGTGTTTCCTGATACCCATCTTGAATGGTTTAGTAATACATTTAAGGTGATAGCCCCTCATTCTGGATGGCCCTGAAAAAGGTAGGTTTTATTTCTGCGTAGCTGGTCAAAACCTTGAACATCTCAAACATCTCCCTTTAATCTTCTACACTCATGGGAATATATACCGAGTATCCATTATTTCTTTCCTCTTACATTAATATAGCCGCTTTGAGGACGACCCTAAATGTGCCAATGTTGTAGTTTTAAGAGATGTGTTTTGTCCTGGTTTCTTTAGAGAGAGACTGGGGGACAGGCACCGAGCAGTCCGGGAGAAGTCAAACAACTTGTGTGGCCTTGTGTTTTTTTTTAAAGTTGGAACAATAGAAGCAGCCTGAATGGGTGTGGTCAAGCTCTCACAGATAAAGGATCTTTAGTTAGCTTTCAGCAGTTGCTGTTGTGGGCTTGAAGAAGTGGAAGGTACTTTTCCCTTTCTTGATTACAGCCAAAAGTTGAATGTTCTCTTCCTAAGCTGCCTGACCGCATGTGAGACAAAATCTGATTCATGAACTTGAGTTTGTGCCACAGGATGCAGGATGTTACAGTATTGGAACAATTAATTAGTAATAACTACTGTATCTATTATTCTGTTAAGTTTTCCAATAGAGTTGTTATTCTAAGTTTTTTTTGTTGTATTTTAACTATAGTGGATGAATAAATTGTATTTTGCTTAACATCAAGTAGTTTGAACAGTCAAATTGCGTCTGGAACATAGCACTTCACATTTGCCTTTAAAATAAGAAAAAGTTCGGGTCTAGGCTCCCTTCTTAAAATATTTTGAGGGGACCTGGTCTGGTCCATAACATAAAGCATTTTATGATGAGCATCGTTGCAGTATAGGAAACATGGCAACCAAATTTCACACAGCAAGCTTCAGTAAGCAGCAATGTGATCAAGATCCAGGATCATGTAATTTGAAAACAAAGTTATTTGTGTTATTTCAAAGTGAGGAACCGGAAATATAGGATAATCACTCATTACTCCAGCAGGAGAATTCAGAAGATATTTCTTTAGTGTTGGGAATGTGAAATTGGCTGCTGTAGGAAAAGGTTGAGGTGAATATTATTGATACATTGAAGATTAGTTTAGATATTAGATTAACATGCAAGACAGAATGGAACAGAAGGGAAGATTTGGGGAAGATTAATTACTTGGTCATATGTTGGAGTAAAAATATCAGCATAGACATGTTGAGGCCAGTGGCTGTCTCTGTGCTGGAAAATCTATATAAAAATAAAACAGTGAAAGTTCACGAGGGATCTATATTCCCTCCATGTGAATTTAAGTTGAAGGGAAATTATCCACTTTTCTTGTGAAAGATTTGCACTATAATGTAGCAGTGATCGTTTCTTTATTGAGGCTAAACTGGGACGTGATGCAGTATTAATTAATAAAAAGTAATTTACTTTTGATCAATAGCGTCATTAATCATGCCAAATGTAAACTATTAGGAGGAGGCACATAATCACAGAACTAGATAAGGAATAGAATCTTTGTGATGAGATGAGACTTTTTTTTCATGTAAACTGAAATATTTCCATGCAGGTGCATAATGTGTCTTTTATAAAACAAAGAACTATGGATGTTGGAGATTTGAAACAAACAAAAACAGAACGTGCTGAAGAAACTTGGGAGATCTGGCAGCATGTGTGGAGAGAGAAACAGAGCTAACATTTTGAGTCCACAGTCCTACAGAGTTTTCCAACCTCCTGTCTGATGAAGGACTTGAAATATTAATTCTGTTTCTCTGTCCACAGATGCTGCCAGACCTGCT